CCGATTAATGCCTACTGCCTGAAAACAATGCTCAGCAGTGGGCCTTCTCCTTCCAGAGAGTCCTGTGTGGACATAAGCTCTGTGCTTGCCCCATTGCTCCACAGGTCCCTTAAATGTCCTTGCGTGAAAGAGGCATTTGAATGCTCACCGTGGGGGTTACAGCTGGCCCAGCAAGCTTTCTGCTTGGCACACAGATTAGACACCTCAACTTACTGAGCTGCACCTGATCAAATTTGGGGCCAGTCAGAAAGAAAACACAGAAAGGAATTTTGACTTATTTTTCTTTGTTTTTGTAAAATTTACCAAAATCATTTGTGCTTTTCCGGCTTATGTCCAAGTGGCTGAGGACCAGGGCCCCATCTTGTGGCCAGAACCCCCCGCATCTACCCTAGCCTCTGCTGTTTCATAGGTCAGCATCAACAGACAGCAAGGGTGGTAGGTTTAGAAAATTTCTCTAGAGATCTTTTTTTGCTTTTATGCCTGGGTTCAGGGTGTCCATTCCTTAGTAACATTTCTTCTTCTTTATAGAAAATATTGTTTTAAAAGAGATACAGATAAGGATGAAATCATCTCAACACAAATCAGAAAGCAAACACAAATGAGAACACAGCCACAAATGGAAAAAAAAAAAAAGTATGTGCTGAATTTTTAAGTCAGCAGTGGAAACTCACTCTTGGAAAAAAAGTGTCCACTCAGAAAAGGGGGGGGGGGTCCTTGCACAGCAATGACCTTGATGCCTTCACTTTGTTCTTGCTCAGAATCTAGAGGATCACGATCCTCACCCCTTATACATGCAGCAGCTTCCCGACATCCTCCAGCTTTGGATCCACCAGGGTGCTAATAAAGCAGCCTCTGCCTTCCAGCCTTTGTGTTTCAAGAGGTTGTCTATGGCTTTCTTGTCTTAAGTGACCCTAATCCACTGATTCCTGCCACCTTCCATCTGGCTAAATGGTCACTCAGTGCATTCGTGACAGGAAATCTGCCCGTGTAACCTGGAGGCTGAGTAGGTCATTCTCTGTATTACAGTCAGCTTTCCAACCCTGGATCCACGTTTTCATGTCTGTATTCACATTCTAACACTGTGAGCTTCATGAGAGACTGCGTTACCACTGTTTCTTCAATGCTTAGCACAGGCACATATTCAATAATTCTTTGTTGAACAATTGAGAGGATGAGTGAATTTTGAGTATAGTGTAGAAATGTAAAATCTTCTTCTATACTGTAACATCTCATCCTGGAGCTTGAGAAACAATAGTCATTTTGAAAAGAGAGATAGTAGGAAATGGGACAGACAGTGGAGACAAGAAGGAGGTCAGGGGAGGTGGGACAGGGGAGGCAGAGCGAAAAGGGAAGTCTACAGGGTCAGGGTGTGTTCACTTATGCACCCGCTTCCCAACATGACTGTAGTTATGTGTACCACAAGCATATGCTAACAAAACAATTTAAAGAAACAATATCCATGATCTCAGAGTTGCAGAAATAGCAGGGGAAAATGAAGGATAAAGATATTAGCATGTTGTGCTAATAACTTTGGAGTGTTAACTGCTGTCTATAAGAAAAAACACTGACTTGTTTATGGAATTTTGTGGTCAGATAGGAAAGTAACTGAGGCATCTGCTTTGCCTCATGCCTGAAATGCATGAGGAGAAGCATCATGCCTGAAATAAAGGTGTTGTAGTTAGGGGTTGTGCAGAGAACAATTAGAATCAGGACATGGAGTTTATAATATTATTTTTATAATGGTCACCTAGAGTTAACAGAAGAAACTGCAGGAAATCTATCCACAACACCAAAAACATAGAATATTTAGTTAAGGGCCTAAATCCCACAGCAATGTCCCTCATGAGTCCAGATGAAAACCCAGAGCTCATGACAATGCCTCCCACGAGTCCACCTGGAGGTCCAGAGCCCATAAGAAGGACTCATGCGTCTCTTGTATGGATCTGTGCTAGGAAGGCCCAAAGGTCAGCAGTGGAAGCCAGAAAGTCCAGGCCAGTGGGGTGAAGGAGCTGTGCTGGTGGGATGAGGGTTCATACTGGAGCCAAGAAGCCACGCAATAAGACCAGGGTTGTCCTAAAAAGCACATAGCCATCCTCTGCAACACAGAGGCCTCGAGCTCCTCTAACAACAAGCATAGTCGGGTGCATGCCAGGAATCCAGCTTCTAAGTTCATCCTGGAGACCAAGTTCTTCCTCTCCAGAGCCAGGAAGAAATGCTTGATGTGAGGACCAAAGCTTCTCCAAGAAAACCAACGGCTCCAAGAAAACCAACAGCAACTCATAGGAGAACCCACAATGCCTCAATGCAATATCGCACTAATGCCTCAACGCCTTAACACCCTCCTTCTCCTTCTCCACCTATTTATGCTGGCAACTTTCTTCAGGTGGTTCATCTTCGCTCAGTGCCATGCTGATGTAATACAGCTGGCATTAAGTTGACCACCAGTTCTTAATCCATAACAAAAGGTCTTACTGAAAATAAAGTGTTAGGGAAAAATAAATGAAATTACACTAAATATAGATTTCAAAACATGGTAAATACTACTTCTAGAAAAAAAAAACCTTCACTGTATAACAAACTGGATTTCTTCAAGTTAAAAGTTACCTCTGGGAGGTAGCCCTCTTCTTCCTACTGCTCTGGAAGTGATGCCACAGCCTCTGATGTGCTTTTGTGCCTTTCAGTCGTCTTATGGTTTGGACCTGAGATGCCCCAGAAGGCACTGATGTTTTTTGAAGGTTTGGTCTCAAACCTGTGGTGCTGCTGGGAGGTAATGGGACCTTTAAGAGGCGGGACTTAACAGGAGGAAGTGAGGTCATTGGGGGCATGGCCTTGAAGGGGATATTGGTACTCTGGAGGCTTTTTCTCTTTTTGCTTCCTGGTCACCTTGAGGTCAAGAAGAGTGAGTGCCTCCTCCAGCAGGCACTCCCACTGCCATGTACTGAGCCACCATAACCCAAAGTCATAGGGCCAGGTGATGATGGACCGAATCTTCTGAGACCTTGAGCCAACATAAATCTCTCTTCCTTATAAATTGGTTGTCTCAGGTGTTTGGTCACAGTGATGACAAGCTATATAGCACAAACTGTGAACCTAAAAAGCCAATCTGAAAATCTGCCTCCTTGGAAATCCAGACTTTGCATTTTTTGACTGGTTGAGTGTGCCAGGACCAAGTCAAACTGCATCTTCAGCTTCCTGCTTTTTATTTTTGTGTGGCTTTGCAAAATGCACCTGTCATTACAGTTACTGTGCAAGTCATACTTCTGTTCTTGGTAGTTATCAAGTTGTCTGCTCCTAAACTGAAATATTCCCTCTGCTATACTTCAGAAGTCAGATCACAAAATCTGAATAGAGAGAGAGTAGGGAGAGTTCATTTCCATTGTGTAATTTTCACTCAGAAGACAAAACAAAAGCTTAAAGATTTTTTTAAACCTTGTTAAACGCTGGTGAAGAAGTAGGGGAACGGAAACTCTTGCTTGCTGTGGTGGGGAACACCTGGAAGCTGAGGTAGGAGGACCGCAGTGTGCTCAAGGCCAGCCTGAGCTACAAAGCAATGCTCAGAACAAACAAATGAAAAGAGACTCTCATTCACTACTGATGGGAATAAGGCAACAGCCTGGTTTTGGGGATCCCCACCGCCCTGGCTTGGCCACACATCCTGTAAGTCCAGGCGAGGCGATGAGGCAGGAAGGTGCTTCTGTCAGTGTGGCCACACTGCGAAGCACAGACCAAGAGCTCAGGATCTGGCTTCAAGCAGCTGATGGACAGAAGCTTTGGGATAGCAGAGAAAGGGGGAACAAATTCAAGGGTGAGGAGTGTGCACAGCTGGGGATTTGCAGAGCTGGCAGGCTGTGTCGTCCTGGTCGAGCTGTGGTTAATATCTCGTATTCTATGAGGTCCCGAGACAGTTGATATTGCATGAGGGAACAGTTGGGGTCCCACTGCAAGTCCATCCTGCCTAAGAGCAGCCACAGTTCTGGTCACCGGATGGTCACTCCTCCACGGGCAGGGATGACCCTGCTCTCCTCTGCTGTCCCTGGAACCTGGGCTGACTGCAGGTTTAGAACAGGACTGGAGACTTGTAGGCATCACTTGGGGCCTAGAGCTGGACATTGTAGAAGCTGGCAGTTAGATGCTCCTGCAAATCCTGAAGATTACTTCAGTGGTTCTCATCATGGTGGCCTGGGTTTGAAGGAAAATGAGAAACGCTGGTAACTTCAGGCCAAAGAGCCTCATACTGCTGAGACCCCTCAGGTGCTTACCCTGCTGTGTGTACAGCAGGCCCGGTGCAGGAAGAGATGAAATACAAAGCCAAGCTTCATCCGAGTTACAAACTGGGCGTCTGTAAACCTGCTCTCGGGCCCTGTTATGCAGCTGTTTTGGAAGCCGGTTTGGTTGGTTCCAACAAAACCCAACATTTTTTTTTACTATGTGATCCAATAACTGCACTTCTTAGTTACCCAAATAGTAAAAAACTTGCATCTACACAAAACTCCCACAAGAATGTTTATAGTAGCTTTCTGCATAACAGCTAGAACTTGGAAGCAACCAAGATAGCATCAGTAGGTAAATTGGTTACATTCAGAAGGTGGGATGTTATTCAGCACTGAAAAAGAAATGAGTTATAAAGCCATGAAAAGATACAGAAGAAATTCAACTGCATGTTGCTCAGTGAAAGAAATCAAGCAAACAGATATGTTTGATTCTGTTTGATTCCAGCTATATGATGTTCTAGAAAAGAGGAAACCAGGGAGGTGTTGAAAAGTTCAGTCCTTACCAACAGTGAAGGGTGGGGTGTTGCAGGGTTTTACAGAATTTTTAGGGTAGAGGAAATACTCTGAAGTACAATAATAATCGATATGTGTGATTTTGTTTGTCTGAACCCAAGGAACATACACAGCTGAGAGTGAACTGTACCCTGCACTCTGGACTTTGGGGGTGGCTGTGCTAGGTCAGTGCGGGTTCCAGGATGATAAGGAGTGAACCAGGCTCCCAGAGGCTGTTGTTATTAGGGAGGCTGGGCATGTAGGGAGGACTGGGGATTTGGGGAGTCTCTGTACCTCCCTATTAATTCTGCTGTGAACCTGAAACTGCTCTGAAGAAATGAAGCTTTGAATCATTTCAGAAAGCCATGCGTTGGAACCTTTGAGCACATTGTAAGTGCGTTTCAGTGCCAGTCCGTACATCGGGAAGACACGATGACAGGTTCCAAGTGCAGGTGACCCCTGAACTAAGGTGGCTCCCTCTCCCGTCTCAGGCTGACCCTCTCTCCTGGCGACTCCCCGACACTTGCAGGGTGCCCGAGCAGACCCCACAGTCCTGGGGGCTGAGTCCTAGCAGTTACAGGCAGTTTCTTCAGTTACAGGCAGGAGGTGTTTCAGGCTGTGCAAGTTGAGATCTGTGGATAATTAAGCTGGAGAAAAGGTCCAAATGGGTTGTCAAAACAAGGAGGGCCCGCAGCTTATGTGGGGGATCAGATAACAGAGTCGGCGAGTGGGAAGGAGAGTGGGGTCCGGGCGAAAGGCAGCAGGAAGAGGGGTGCGTGGGAGGCTCCCGGCAAGTTGGAGACGGCGCAGCTGCGCGGCTGGGCCTCTCGCACTCCTCGCTCCAGGCTGGGTGTCCTGCCTGGAGCCACTCCAAGGCTTGGGGAAAGGCGGCTCATCGTCTCCCCCTGGCTGCCCTCGGCCCCTGTTCTTGCCCCTTCACCTCTCCTGAGCTTTCCCTCCCTCCCAGTACCGCTCCCGCTCCCCTTGGGGTCCTTGGATCTAATTCAGGCTTCTGGCCTGAGACACCCAGCGGTTGTCCGTGATGTGCACAACAGGTGTGGTGGGACAGAGGGCGTCATCAGCCACAGAGACTCCCCAGAGCAGCTGTTCCCCTGAACCCCAGCTGCCGGGCTCTCTAGCACCCCTGTGGCTGCTGTGATGGGAGAGAAGGGCCCGGATGCCAAGCTCAGGTCTCTGGCGTGGAGGGAAAGCCCTTGGCTGACCACTCCCGGGCACCACAGGAGAGACAGGAGCTGGAGGGACCTTTGCTCAGGGAGATGCAGATGGCACAGACGCCCAGTGCGTCAGGAAAAGGAAATGGAAAGGATGGAAAATTGGTGCCGAGGACCAGAGCACTGGAGAGAAGGAAGAGAAGGAGCTCGTGTCTAAACAGGCTGCAGACTGCGGGAGATGCTGCTGTGCAAACAGTAGCGGCGATTATAAGGTAATGTCCACGAGGTATGATAAAAAATACAGTGACTTTCATTTTTTAAAAATTTGTAACAATGAAAGACACCTTGTGATGAATTCCCTTCATAATGCTCCCCCTCGCTTCACACCCACTCATCCCACATCCCTGGCGCTTTCTGCAACTGTCCTGGAATCCTCTTTTGTACGGGTCTTTAGCTGCGCTGTCTTGAAAATGTCTCCTTTTCATAGTCATTGTGATTTTGGGGAAGAACTAGAAGTCACGCAGAGCCAGATTTGGTGACTAAGATGGATGAGGATGCAGTGTCATGTTTGTTTGTTTTGTTTTGTTTTGCTGTAGGATGACTTTTTGCAGCACCAGTCACTGTATTTTGTGATCACCCCTGGAAAGACTCTCAGGAACCAGGACTCCAGAGCTGCTGTGGAAAGTGGCAAGGACAGTGGGCTGTGTTCAAAATGAGGGGAAGATTCTGAATAGGATTCATGGCAATGCAGATGTGTTAAATACTCATTGTATATTTTGATCGCATCTCATATAATGACAACGGCACTGCTGGATGCCTACTACGTGTCACAATATTATTCTTGGTGGTTTACTTTGGATTATTTTCTCCATGCAGTTATAAAAACCCACCAGGGAGCAGTTGTCAGCTAGATTTTTATGGAGAAGGACACTGGCAATCAGTGTGAATCTGATCACTGCAAGTGACAGAGGAGGAACAAAAGAAGGGACATGTCCCAAATCCACTTGTCAGTGCTACCATCCCAGTTCTTCTTCCTCGATGCTCAGATCAGCAGCAAAACCCCACTGTAGTTCATGTGGTTGGGTTAGGGATGGATGACTGGGGAGTTACTGTTTCTGAGAATCTGCAACCACCATGCTTGGAAGAGATGAACACTAAAATCAGGAGACAGGAAAGGAATTATTCTCCCCGGTGTGTGTGTGTGTGTGGGCATTATCCAAGCCATTGATACCTTCATTCCAATTGGTAAGCTGTGCCTGGTGCTGAGTGGGGCACAAAGGCAGAAGTGCACTTTCACTCGGGCCTGGATGGCCACACTCACCTTCTTGTGCCCTCAGACACCAGTACACTGGGATCTTGGTCTTGCACACTCAGCCTGGAGCTTGCACCAACTTCCCTCATGCTGCAGCTGTTACAGTCACATGGAATCACACCCACCACTCACCTGGTTCTCCAGTGTGCAAATAGCAGCTTGTGGTACTTGTCAGTCTTGTTACCACAGGGACACGTTTTTATAACGAGCTTCTTCAGATTCAAACATTTGTTTCAGGTGGCTTCTGTTTCTCTGGAGTCCTCCCTCGGGCAGATGCTTTGTCCAGACTCTCATTGAACAAATAAAGGAAACCAAGGCCATCCTTCAGCGGGGCTCGTGTGATGCATTTCAAGTTATTCAACCATTGCTTCCTCAGTTCATTTATAAAAAGGCACAACCACAGAACATCCCACAAGTAGCACTTCCAGTCAGAAAATAAGCTGGAGGCAGAAGATGCTGAAATTCCTTTGGGTCTCTTAATTGTAATTCCTTTATGTGCTCAAAATAAACTCTTAACCCATGCAGTCAAAACAAATTGCCAGAAATAGTTATTATTTTAGTTTCCCTTTGGAATCTTTCATCATGCTTACAGAAGTCTTTAAGAATCTGAACTTAATTACTTTCATGGCATATTTATTAATTTCTTTTTTGTTTTTTCTTTTTTTGCAAAAGGAAGAATTTCTTCCACTGGACCATAACCCTTCCATGTTTAAAGCTGGTTATTATCTTCATTCCAATTGGTAAGCTATGCCTGGTGCAGAAAGAAAGTCTTCCGCCAGCAGGGACATCACTGCCCCAAGCCAGCCTAGGGAATGATTGCACCTGACCGTATTTAGTTGGCTGTGACTAGAGAAGTCTGAGTATTGTGAAGACGACATCATCCACATAGAAAACCCATGGGCACTAGGGAGATGTGGGTGAGGTGAGAGAGAGCACAGGCTGAGGGACAGACCACCACCAATCCTCAGCTGGACATTCACCCAGGGGTCTTACCTGAGGGACCTGCCATCCCACAGTGTTGGGAAGTAGGCACCAGCGTGGCCATAGGATGAAGAAGAACCTAAACGGAAGTACAGTTGAGGTTCATGCAAGGCCATCTAGCCATTCAGTGGACGCCCAGCATTGGTTTCATTCTCCGACAGCCTGCTCAGACGGTTACGGAGAGCCTAACCCTGTGGTGTAGGTCAAGTGTGCAGGAGCCTGGGAGGTCAGGAAGGAAGGAGTCCAACCTTACTCATCCTCCTGTAGTCTGCACTGCATACTTGCTCTTAGCTGGTAGGAGCTGAAGCCCAAAGGCCCAGCTGGAGTTGATTCTGCTATAGGAATATTTCCTCCCTACTCTCCCAAGAATAAAAGTGCACATAAAAAACGTAAGGTGATGACCTCAATAACCTTTATTCAGCATATAATTCCAAGAAATGCAACCATTTAGAAGTTCCATCTCACAGCAGGGTAGGATAAATACCATCCCTCATACTGCAGAATAGACAATTGGCTTTGAAAACAAAAGTAAAGGGCCCCAAATTATGTCTAGATTTAAGCACACAGTAAGTATAATTTATATTTGAATGGTAAACATGAGTTATCAAGAAAAGATTAGTTTGTTTCAAGTAACACAGCTTTAAGAAAATAAATTACTACAGGGTAAAAGCATTTCCATTCAATATGCAAGTATATTTACATAAACAGTTACCAGACATGAATAGAAGATACTGGAAATTCTGTGTTGCAGGTGAGAAATAGCAATTTTGGGTCAAGGTCATGCTCTTAAACTCAGAAGAGTGGCTGGTATCCAGGCCTCCGCACCGTGAGTTCTCAGGCTTTATCTGTATGTGTTGTGCTTTCTCCCTCTAGAAATGGGAAACACAGTCCAAGCCCACATCTCTCCAACAACGTATAACACTGAAGCCCAAATGAGAAGCTGGCAAACCATGAGTTTTATAAATTCTAAGAACTGTGATCGTCAGGGAAATCTCTGAATTCCTGGACATGCAGGAGCTTGAGGTCAACAGATACCTGGAGTAGCTGCAATACGTGACCAGTAATCTCCCTGGAGGCTTCTTCCAACATCCTTGAGGGGCAGAGGACTTTGCTTGTTGGTTTTTATAAGTGAGGTGGCTGTGAATGTCCTGATGCCTGGGTGCTAGTGCCTAAATTGCATATGGATTTGCACATCTCCACGCCTAAGTGCAAGAGTATCTGCAGGACTAGAGGGTGATGACCATAGTCTAATGATCAGGTTGTCTGTTAGGGCCACAGGTAAATCCACTTCCTGTTCATTTTCCCCAGAGGAGCTAAACATTCCCAGAAAGGAGAGTTCTGGGACCTGACCGGTGGGCTTGGACAAAAGAGCAAATTCTGCCTCTTCCTAATCTTCCTCTTAGATCTGGGTTTGGGAAATATGCGCCTGGATAACTGGCCATAGTACCTTCCACTCAGGAGCAGGAAGGCCCTGACCAGGGTCTTCCTAGCTGGCTTGGAACTGAGCTGCCTTTTTCCTAGGAGCACAACTGTGCCTTTCTCCTGCTGGACAGGAGATGTTCATCGGGAGCCCTTGTGATCACCTTCATGTTAGACAAGGCACTCATTCACACTTTAGCTTGAGATCGTATTTGCTTCTTCCATTTGTTAACCCTATCCCACCAGACTTGAGACCCAGGAGAGGAGAGAGGACTCTCACAGTGAAGTTAACGTTCTTTTCCCTTCTTCCTGTTGTCTCATCCATTGGAGGCTTCTGTCTTTCTGGGAAGGTCCAACATAAGGCTTCAAGACACAGCCACTCTTTCTTTGACGTGTCCTCTCACCTCCTCTAAAGCAGCAGCTTTGAGGGACCTGGTTGTCTTTCAAAGCAAGTGTGAGATCAGTTTCACTGGAGGTTTTCAAGTGCAAAACTAGAACTCATCATTTTCCAGCCTGACCCAGTGGAATCTTGGTTATTTTCTAATGTGTGCTAAAAATCAACCGAAGTCCTTGCTTTAGGGTTTATATTTTTTTAAATGCCCACTTTTGGAGGCTAATGTCTGTACTAGAATGAGTGTGCCTCCTTCCTTCCCTGAGCAAACTCAATGCCTCCTTTTCACGTTAAACAGCTGGCAGCACCCCCTTGGCTTGACTGAACTCACAGATACTTAACTTACTCTTCCTATAAGTAAGGAAATATTTCATGCTGTAACAGTGGCTTGGTGGAAAAATAAAAGTGGAGGGATTTATAGTAGAAAGATAGGTAAATACGAACATGCGCAGGCTGTCTCACTGCTGCTCCAGAACACAGAATAGGGTCCCCTCCCCCAGCAGGATCGAAAAAGGTTGTGTTCAAATTTCGATCTGTTAGTAGCATTGTAATACCTGCAGCTAGAAAGGTGAGGTCCCCGAGTGTGGGCTTGTGGTGAAATCGCCATGTGACCCGTGTGAAGACAGCCTCATAAAAATGTGTTCTGTTGGTGATCGGTGCTCTGTGAGTGGTGTTATCGCTGGTGACATGGTTATCTGAAAAGGTGGATGCATCTTGGAAGAGTTTCAAACAGAAGCACAGGCTGCCTTTGATTTGAGGGGTGGAAAATTCAGTGCATGTTAAACCCACAAGCAGAGTAAAAATACTCCGCGTGTAGGTGGAATTAGGCTCTAGGCTCAGACTCTGAACAAGTCTGTCCCTCACCTGAATCCCTGGCGGGTCATTAAAAATGTGTGAGAGATGAGGAAAGTCATCCGCAGATTTCACAGAGCTTCTTCTGTCCCCACAAGCTGTCAGCAGCACCCTTTTCCTCCCAGTTTTTTGACAACAAAAGGACCCCTTCAGTTTTCCAAAACAGCACGCACTGGGAAACAGCTTTAGGTCAGTTGACAGGGACTTAAATTACGAAGGGGGCTTCCGTACCAACCAGTGCCATGGCTCTGAAGGTCCTGGGACTCCCCGCTGTGCAGAGCCTCATTTACAAAGGGAGGCCCGCCTGCAACAGTCTCCAGACTGTCTTGGGGTTGCACCCAGTCCAGCCATAGCCTCCCAGTTCTTCAAGCAGTCAGTGGGGCTCCTCTGAACAATCAGACCTACTCCTTGCGGGTAGTGTGGGGTCAGCTTGCTTTGGAGCAAGAAGTAGAGGAGGACGTCAGGTGTTGGGAAAAAAGTCAGCCACGAAGCGAGAGATGGATTCTGAGAGCCCACCAACACCGCCTGTTGGAGGCTGAGCTTGCTCAGGGAGCCTTCAGGGTTGCATGTGGTTTGTAACCCTGCCCTGGCCAGAGGCTACACACCTATGGTGTGTGCTGGGTTTCCAAGGTGCAGCTGATGGAGTCGGGAGCATGGGGAATGAGGAGGTGGTGTCACAAGTCTGGACGCGCTGCCCTCATAAAAGGATCAAAGCCCCGGGAGAGCCCTGTGCCAAAGCTCTTGCAGCGTGCGACAGGAGCCCAGGGGAAAGACAGGTGGGAGTGAAACTGAAAGAGCCCTCTTGATGACTTCCCAAGGAAAACCACCCGTTTGGCAGTGGCTCGCCCTGCAGGTTTGCTTTCTGCCCCCACACATCCTCGTCACTTCCAGACTCACGGGGAAGTGTGAGGCTTGTAAAATCCCAAAGCAGCTCTCAGCAGAGGCAGAGAGGTCGTGTGGTACTGCTCGGCACCCTGTCTCTGCACCCCAAAAGTCCTTCCTCCCTTTCCTGCATCTCTGCGCTCTGGTTCTGTCCATATCGTCTCTACGGCACCTCGCAGGCCATTTAATGGTGACCTCTGCTACCATTGTGGCCTCTCTCACCTCCCCTCAGCATGTGCTTTAGGTCTTTGCCTCCATTCCCCGGCCTCTGCTCCTACTGGCTCCCCATTTGCTCCCGCTAGAACACTTCTAGGGAATACTCATCAGCTCGGCACTAAACAGCAATCCTCATCTTGTGTACAGGCAAATGCTAGGGAGCTCTAAGCACTGCAGGAGGCTTTCTGTTCCTCTGCTCCATGCAGGCACTGCTGAGCCTGAATTCCACACTTTCCTCCATGAGCTGATCTGAACCCCAATCTTGTCCTTGCATCAGAGTCTGAGGAATGCAACCTGTCCCTGGAAGAGCTAAGCTGGACATCTCCTGGTCACCTGAAATGTGGTCATTTATGTTCCTGACCAATGCCTCAGCCCCTTGGGGGCAGATCAGTGGTAGCTGAATTCTGTATTCTCTCTCTGATGATCAGGCTCAAGCTGTGACATAAAGGGACATTCCCGAATATGTCCTGCAGCTCTGCACATCAGCAGGACCGAGTCCCCTGACCTCGTTCTGGACAGAAACTGGAGAAATGGGTCACCCTCGGTGACACATTTCATCTCCAATCAATTCCTTTCAAACTTGGTACTGAATTTCTCCGTGTCTAACATTTTTCGAAGAAAGAAAAGTTCTTATCTTCTCATTATCTTCTTTAAATTTACCCCCATTATAGTTTGGAAATCATGCTACCAACTCCAGATTAAAACTGTAAGTATTTGAGAATATGCTCTGTGAGCCTTTGTCCTGAAAAGTAATTGTATGTCAGAAGTTTTGTA